AAACAGTGCACATTTCAAATTGATTGATATATCAAGGATGCTACCACATTGGAAATAGAATGCATGTTTGTCTTTAGATTTATTTATTCAACTTTTGATAATCAGTATTGGTAATAGTAGAAAGATAAAGAAAGAACTCTTTACTTCTGCGTGAATTTTTGCAAGGTGAATGCTATCACAAAGATAAAGGGTACTTACCTTTGTGATAGCATTCACCTACCTAAGACCTATAACTGCCTGACACCCTATCAAGAAGGTAGTTTCTTGGACCTTATATATTTTTACTATTGATTAATTCGAGAGTTTGTTGTACTTGAAAGGACCCTGCTATTTCTCTAATCTAGATAAAACCTTTGAGACTAAACTTGAAAATGTAGAAAAAATATTTGTAAGGGGCGTGCAACTGGAGTCGAAACTGAAGCCTGCAAATGATCGTTAATAAATCAAGGTTTGTTGCAGTTCCCTTAATCCTGTCACAAGTAATTAAAGTTGACAGCTGTTTCTCTTACAGTCCAAAATATGAAGAAGCGTTCACAACATTAGGAAAGTATTTAAGTAAGTTTTAATATTTGTCTATCCATACTCAGTTTTGAGTTATGCACAAATTACACTGGGCTTGCATTTGTTTTTTAGTTTGTTCGTTTAGAATGGAGACAAAAGAGTGGCCATGTATCAATAACACCTAAACCTCTCACAGCACAGATTCTTTACTACCAAGAAAGAGATTCTGGCGCCCTCACTTTTATCAAACATTACGTACTTGGTGGTACAAGTAAGTCTAAATAAAATCCAGAAGGTTAATATATCAATGAAAATCGCGATGGATGCAAAATTGTGTCTTCTAATAAGTCATCTTAAGCAGCAGTAGAGACCATGGTATTGAAGACATGTGCTTACTGAGCACAATCTGATATATTATGTGGAAGAAGAACTGATAGTTTGGCATTCATTTTAGTTGATAGAAGTAATTAGTGCTGTCATGGGCTCTCAGAAGGAATTCACAAAACAAGAATAAAGATTAAGGAGTTACAAAACTGCAATGAGACAAAATTAAGTTAGTTATGAGAGTAAGAACGTCGAGTTTTCTGCTAAGTTAAATAATTTATTGAGAGATGTGCAAACATTACCGAATTATATATAAAACTACGTAAGTTACACCGGTACCGATATACTCATACATGATCCTGGTATCACTTAGAACAATGAGAGACTTAAGCATAAGTATTCTATATTAGCTGATAAGGTAACTTGTCAAGATATTCATCGACTTTTCTCAAAACATTACAGTGATGAAATGACTCTAATAACTGAGTTAGAGTTCTGGCTTTGAAAACTCTCTGAATACCAACTTATTGTTCTAGGTAAGGGTTCACAATTTTCATGCTTCAATAGAGTAAAATATAAAGTATCTTATATGTTGAATGCAACATTGAACGGTTGGCATAGGTATAGGATGGCATTTTGAAAAAGAAACGAAACAAAAAAAGACCCAACCCCTTTAGATGGTAATAATCAAGCTCATTTTAGACTCATTTCATGGGATTAATTTTATGTTAATAAACTGTAGGACGAACATCATGTTATCTTATTTT